CTCACACATGTCATTTGTCTATTGTAAACACACCTGCATCCTTGTAAGTACATCCTGGTTTCCATACTAGAATTTCTTGAAGGTAGATGGAATATAAAAAGCAAAAAAGAGCAATTAGATGTAGTCAGTGGTCACATACATCACCACTTCCCTGGTAATCAGAGGAGATTAAGGTGAAAGATAATTGTATGTGATTTCTATCACATAAGGCACAAAATGACTGACACTGTGCTGTAATATCTACACATTAATAGCATGTTGATAAGAGTGTAGGGTGATGGAAACTTAATAATTTCCACTTGGTGTGAACCAACCACACAGAAAAACATTTGTACAACCACTTAGAAAACAATTCAACTAAGCTAGTTAAGGAAATAGATCTAAAACTTCAGTGGTGCCTGAGGAGGAAAGGAAGAGTGGAGAAAAACAAGCCCTGACTTCACCTTGGTCTGTCTGTGACCTGAATGAATCTGATCCTTACATTCACTGTGTCACCTGTCACCTGATCCTGCAGATAAAAACCCCTCTGCACCTCTGCCAGGCTCAGCCCCACAGCAGGGTTTTGCTGGAGCCTCAGCTGCAGGTTTGGGTATGGGCTGCAGGTGCCTGGAGATCACTGTGTTCCTGCTGCACAGAAGTAGGTGGCTGAGTCTCCAGGCTGAGAATCTGTGATGTGCAAGGAGAACTGTTTATCACTTTTCCTGAAGAAGACTGTGAACCTTCCATCTTCCTTTTTATTCGACACGGATCGTATGGCTATCAGAAGTGTAGGGCCTTCACCAGGGAACTGCCGGTACCATGGGAAGTAGTCAAACCTGCTGTCCTCATAAGTGCAGTTCAGAACTGACGTCCCTCCTGCCGAGACTGTCAGAGATTGGGGACTTTGTCTCACTTGCTGCTGGTCACGTCTGTCCTGTTGCTGGCCACTCACCCCTGTGTAGAGACACAACAAATGTCATTAGTTTCCCAGGTTGTACTACCTGCTCGTGGTTTCAGCCCTCATGGTTTTGTCCTGTGCCCCAGTTCTCTCACCCCTCCACATTAATTACATATCCTGAATTTTCTCTTCCGTGACTCACAGGCTAGGGGAAGGGCCAGGACTAACAATGATGACTTCAGGATCTTGTCCATTCCTCCTAGACTGAAGCTTGGGGAGAACTCCAGTGGCCTTTTATCTCCCCACAGAACACTGAATCTGCCTTCACAGGCATTTAGTTCTTTCAACAGGCTCCACCCCTCACAGACACTTTGTCTTAAGCTGCTTCTGACATAGAAAACACTTTCCTGTTTTGCTCAAATTTAGTGTTTCAGAAAAAAGTCATTGAGAGTCAGAAATCCCCTCATTGTAATTCTACCATTATACACTGTTGGTAGGAATATGTGTTGCTAAAGCCACCAAGAATAGCACTGTTATTCTTCTGAAGTATTAAAAGAAAGAAATCAAGCAGGAAGGAACGTAGGAGGAAAGGAAGGAAAGAGGAAAAAAGAAAGGAAGGAAGGAAGGAAGGAAGGAAGGAAGGAAGGAAGGGAGAGAAAAAGACCACTGATCCTACTATTACTACTTATGGGCATTTATCCAGGGAAACTGATGTCATCACATAAGAGAGAGACCTGCATATACGTGTTTATTACAGCACCATTCACTATTGCCCACATACAGCCTAGGTATCACCTGTCAATCTATGAATGAAGAAAATATTGTACTTCAAACAACAGAGCAAAATTCAACCACAAGGAAAAATGAACTGGTGCCATCTCAAGGGGAACAGATGGTATTGAAAGACATGATGTTAAGCAAATTAAAGCAGACATGTAGAGACACCCAACACATGTGTTCTCATATGTGAAA